TATGAATATTAGTTCTGTTTTGATCATCCAAAAACATAAGTATATTACATGGTCCTAGTATTTTAATGCAATAAAATATACACGAGTAACAATGCTTAGTGTTACCTTTTCAATGACTGATTTTGGAAGGAGATCATTCATCGGCTTGTCCCACCAACAATCTGATCCGTGTTCTTTTATCAAACTGACAACATGATTCACGGAATCTCTTAAGAAGTGAAACAAAAAGAACATAATCTTCAACATTTCAACAGTCACTTGGCATGTAAGCGTTCATCATATCTTTTACTGTTGTACTTCATGGCAGCCAGACCCACTTACAGCCAGTTTCACAAAATACTGCTTATGGCTACTGCATTTGTCAATGTCCCCATTTTCGAACTATGGCCTGGTGCTATTGTATTAAACAACAACAAATTCTACACACCGTGTAAGAAGTGGTTGATCATCAACTTCATCGTAAAACACCGGGATCGGTACGCCCCATACCCTCTGCCGCGATATGCACCAGAACGTGCGACCAGCAAGCTGTGCTTTCATGCTGTTGTTGCCGTGATTTGGTAAAATATTCACTTCATCAACACAATGCTGTGGAAACAAGGATAATATCAAGCAGTTCTATTAGTCATTAAACAAAATGAGTAGAAAACTATAGAGTACAATGTTGCTGACGTGACATCATAACACCTCAGGACACCCCTTAATTGCTCATCAACACTACCCAAATTGTTAATACAACTGAGTGCCCCACAGCTAAGCAACAATATACGTTAAACTGATAAACCTTAAAAACCTATGTTCGCAACATATTCTTTATTTGTCTTGAAAACTTTAAATAAAAAACAGTCATAACTCTCCACGTGCTCTATTCCATGTTGTTTGGTCCAGGTAGCTCAGTCCAGGTGTTTAGGATGGATACAAATTAATAATGTCCCAAGACAGACGATGAATTATTTACCATAGATCTGTCCCTTATGGATGCTGTGTCAATGAACCACTGATTACTGGCTCTGATAATGATAGGTTTCTTGGTCCTCCAGTCATAAGGGTAGCTGTGTTCATAACTCTCTTGGTGGGCCAATGATCCAACAGCCTCTAGCAGGCCAATTGCTGAGGGGAAATGCCAATAAGTATATCAATTAATAGGTAAGGCAAGAATCATACAGCCAGATACATAGATACACAGACAAGCAGATATATAGACAGACAGATAAGCGGACACAATGTTCAAATATTCACCTGTCTTATTTGCATCTTTTAAAA